GGGCTGGGGCAGGGGGTTGGGGCACAGGAGGGGGTGTGGGCTCTGGGGTGGGGCTGGGGATGAGGGATTTGGGGTGCAGGAGGGTGCCCCAGGCTGGGATCAATGAGTTCGGAGGGCGGGAAGGGGATCAGGGTGGGGCAGGGGGTTGGGGCGCAGGTGGGGGTCAGGGGTGCTACTGTGGAGCTGAAGCACTGGGAATTATGCTAGGACTGATAATTGGGGTTGGAATTGGGAAGGAGTCATGGAAAAGTTAGAGAGGAGGTTACAAAGGTGGAAATGGTGTTTGCCTCGACTCTCCTTTGAGAGCAGGTGCTAGTCATTAATAATTTAATTGCCTTTTTTTAGAAAAAGTTCAGAAGTTTCTTTTGGACTTTTTCTGGTATGGCATCATTGAGGCAGAATATTTTATATCTGTTGTAGAAGGTCTCCTTGATCTTTTGAGCAGAGTCGCTACTTTTTGGTTACAGTCTCTGCAGCCATTATTTGGAGATGAGCCTTTTCTTTAGAAGCAAAAGGCCTTTGCTTTACTTCAGCAGATAGGGGTTGGGTTTTGATCATGAACTTTTTTTGGTGGACCGTGGCTGCCTCAATTTTGAGATGTTACCCAGTTGGAGATTTTTTTAAGCTGAGGTCACAGCATAGGGAGCTGGAGTTCCCTGGGCTCCCTTGTTTATAACTCTGACATAAGGATTCCTAGTTTTGTTTCTAGGAGTCTTGTCTCTTCCCTTATTGCAGCAGGTGTAATAAAACGGGTTCATTTAATTGATTTGACTCCTTTGACATGGGTCTCCGTGCATATCCTGGCTGTGAAGCTTGGTTTTCATTCCATTTGCCTCTGGGTTTCTTGGTTTATATCAGAGGTGGAATCAGACCTTCCAAGGGGCAGTATTGCCAGTCTGGACAGATGCCTCTTTGAGCCAACTATTCCTAATGTTTCTATTTTCTTGGCTGTTGCTCCTTCAGAGGATTGGGATGTTAACAAGCCTGGCAGCTTGGTTGCCTTCGGTAGGTCTTCTGAATTTACTTTTAATAGCTTAGGCCATAAATCATTGCATATGCTTGTGGTAAAGATTTGTCATTTTCAAACACCTGTTGATTAACCGATACGAGAAGACAGCTTCTTATGGCAGCTTTTCCGGTCTTGGGGCAGCAGTGGGTGAGGGGGGAAGAGTGAATGGTGGGTGGGGCCTGGAGGAAAGAGGTGGAGTGGGGGCGGGGCCACAGGTGAAAGGGGACAAACGGGGGAGGGGCTCCGGGCTTGGAGTTCTGGTCAGAGCCAACAGCTCCACTGCAGTCCCAGGCCTCGCCACCACCCCCACCCCATGGCCCTGACCAATCTCTCAGCCCCCCCCGCCACGGGGGTGGGTGAGAGCAGTGAGCAGGGGCATGGCCTCGGCCGGAAGAAGCAGAGCAGGGGGCTAGCCTCCCGAAGGGAAGCTTCACCCACCGCCCATGACTATGCCATAGCTCAGCGCTTAGACCACAATCGTGGAAAACCCCTGTTCAAATGCTCTCTCCCTCTAGCAGGAGAAGAGGGAATAGAACCTGGGTTTCCCACATCCCAGGTGACTGAGTGGGCTAAAAGTTATAAGCTCAGCTCCTCCTCCAGCCATTTTGCAGGGAGCAAGGTAGGCACCTAATTCATTTCTGCAAGAAACAGCTTGGGTGCCAAAGCCACCTGACTCCAGGCAGCGGGTTCTTCTTGTTTGTGGATCACTAAGCAGAGACAGGCACCCCTCTGCAGCCCAGATTTGGGCATCTATCCCTGAGAGAGGGGCAGGGCTTAGGACACACCCCTCTCATCAGCATCTCCTATTGGCTTGCTCCCCGCCTAGTGTGCTGGCTTTTGTGGATCACATTCTAGGCACCTGCCTCTCCCCATTCATTGCAGAGGGAGCCCAAGTGCCTAACTCAGGCTCTGTGGATCACAGTTTTGTTCCTGGGATTTTCTAAGCACCTCAAAATTAGGTGCTACGACACTCAGCATTGTGACACCTAACTCCCTTTGTGGATCCCACCCACCCATCCAACTTTTACACCATAGAACCACATGGCATACATGTGAAGACAATCAAAAGTGCTGATATCACTGCCATTAATACTCTGACTGCTTCCCCCACCCTATAATCATCTCTCTTTCCACTGGTTCTCAGCCAGCTAGCTTTCACCCATGCCTCAATCTCTATTAGAGATTGAGTAAATAACCCTACTGCCCAGGCAGGATTAGAACTTGAAGAGAGAGAAATATAGAGCTAGGCATCATCAGTATATTGAGGCATCGTAACTCGTACTTACTAACGGCCTTGTCTATAGTTTGCACAAGAAGGGTGACAAAATGCAATCTCATAGAAGTCCACAAGACAGCCCTCTGAGCAGATGAACAGCTGTCTAATACAACCTCTGAGATCAAATAAAAAGAAAGGGAAAGTGCCACGCTAAAGTGAGCCCATTTATTCATGTAGCTGCATCAATAAAACCTGTGTCAGTTCCTGTACACCATTTCAAATGCCTACAGGTGAATCAGTAAATACTCATGGTCAATGGCATCAAAGGTAGCTACAGATCTAAAAGAAACAGCAGGGATACTTGATCTTCCTCCATCACCAAGAAGAGATCATTAAACAAGACCACCAGTGCAGCTTCTGTACTATACCCAGGCCTATGACCAAATTGACTAGAGTGAAAAAGGGAGAAGTAATCCAAATATTGCTGAAGTCATTTTGGACATGCATACATATATGTGCGTGCTTAACTTAAACTCTTTGGGACAAGGATCACTTCTTACTATATGTTTACTTACAGTGCCCAGCATGTTGGGGCCCTGATCTGATCACGGTCATTGGGTGATGCTGTAATATAAATAAATATAATAAAACAATTTTGTTTTAAATCAAGAGTTTCCCACTTCCCTGGTTAAGGCCTCTGCATAGGAACACTAGGCTCTTGTATCTTTCCCATCCACTCCAGAATCAGGTCGCTTAAGTCTTCCACCTCCTACTCAGTAATGTCCCCAGAACCCTACTTTAGTCTTGTCTCCCCATTAGACTCCCTGCAACCACACTCTGATCTCTCCTTCTTCATAAGATTACCTAGGATGATATCAGCTTCCTCTCAGTCCACAAGAAAGACTTCACTTTATCTCTGAGACTAGGCCACCTATGTCCTTGGCTCAGTCTTCAGAATTAAAAACCTTACTTTACTACCACTGCTCCTACTCACCTGCAGTCCCATCATCCATGCTTTCTGCAGCCTGCCTGACAAAGTGTGGCCCACCTCCTGCTCCACAGGCAAAGCATAGGCTATCTGTTGACGTGACTACTGACAGTCCCAATTCCCTTAGTTACTCACGTCTTCCTACCTGATATCAAAACAGGAGCTGAGGAGTTATATTACTGCAGATAACAGGGCCTCTTATAGCTGCTGGGTGGGGTGTTCTTTCCCTCTTTCATTTTTCAAGAGGGGGCCTGCCACTCCCCATTCCTGCCTAATAGGTGGAGAAAAGACAGAAAGAAAGTGAGGAGGAAATGGGGGCAAAGGTGTGCTCTACTTCTCCCCAGCTGCTGAATGGGGACTCAGTCCAACCAGCCTCCTTGTTGACTGATGGGAGGATGCAGGAATCCTCTCTTCCCCCACTTGTTTTTTTCCTTGGGCTCCTTTTCTCTTTCTCCTCCACATGTTCAGGGAGAGAGAAGACTGCAGAGTAGGGAGCAGTTATTAGTGCTCTGCTGTACTCAGGAGAAGACTATGGACAGCTAACAGCAAGCACAGGCATGAGCACCTGCTTGGATCATAGGGCCCACATAGGCCTTAAACTACCATTGACAATACAAGTGAAAGAACAGCTTCCACCTGTGAAGAGTCAAAGAGATGAAAAGAGGTAAAACTGAAGGAACAGAGTGACTGGGCAAAGGGAAGAGAGAAAGAGACAGAGGGCAGCAAGTCCACGAGGAGTTCTAACATTCAGACATAGATAGGAAGCTAATGAATGGGACAGAGGATCATGTGGTGGATAGAAAACTTGCAAAAGTGACAAAGGATGGATAGTGTAATACTCTGAGAACGTCCCTTCTAGATTCTTGACTAGGACTTTGGAACAGCCAAAAAACCTGTCGCCAAATAATCCATCCCAACTAGCACACTTGATCCCAACATTGGGTGGTGTAGATCTTTGGGACATCAATGAATGCTGGGTGGATTCTACTGCACTATAGACAGATCCTCCCTGGCTTTGTTAAAGGAGTTCTCCATAACCTGGGACAACTTGTTTATCTTTTTTAAATATTGGCACAACATTAGCTTCCTTCCAGTCTTCTGGAACTTCCCAGTGTTTCCAAACTTATTGAAAATCAGTATTAACAGTCGAGCGAGCTCCTCAGCCAGCTTTTAAAACTCTTGGATGCAAGTTATGCAGACCTGCTAATTTTAAAATACGTAACTTTCATGGCTGGTGTTTAATAGGCTCATGAAATACCAGTGGAATGGAAAGAGACTTATCCTATGGCTACATTATCATCATCTGGTTTTTAAATTTTTACCGTCACAAAGCCAGCGAGGGGCAACAACATACAGGTGGGAGGAGATGGAGACCGGTGAGCGACGGAGTGGAAGCCAGGGCAGCTGACAACAGAGGCAGATTGGCTAGGGAGGCAGTGAAAGCGATGGGAGGGCATGAACTGGAGGATGCAGGGGTGGGCGGGAAGCCAGCCAGGGTGAGCAATATAATCACACCCTTCTCCTCTTTCTCACGGGGTGTTACCTACAGCGTGAGGCACTCCCTGCCCCAGCACTGACTTGTAGCTGGCTGTCACTGCTCGCACAGGCATGCCTGCCCCCCGCGGGGGCTGCACGCCCACACGAGCCGAGAGCCGGCTGAAGAACCCAGGGAAAGCACGCGCAGCCCCAGGCGCGGAGAACGAAAGCCGGAGAGGGCCGAGCTAGAGGGAAGAGGATCGTGCGCATGCGCGATTAACTCAGTTAACCCGGCGTTGAGTGAACGAGAAGCGTGGAAGAGCCCATTATGTACCGAAGGGCGTAGGCAGTTAAAATAGTTTTTTTCCCGCTATTTCCCTCAGAACGCTGCCAGGAAGTTGTGCCTCATTTTGGTAAGTACTGCTAGTCCGTATCTTTCTGGGCGTCGCGCTTTTCCTTAACCCTCCCTATAGAATAATTCCGCCTAGATAGTACGGGCCGCCGTGATCTGTCCAATCAAAAAGAGGTTCCAGGAATTGTCATTAGTTGCTGGGTAGAAACAACCTGAGCGCACGCGCACACACCCAGTACTGCAGCGTTAATGACTTCATCGCCTGCCTCAGGCCGCTTGTCCCTCGCAATGGGCGGGGCATTTCTTTCGATTGACAGACTCATACCCAATGACAAGTATATTCCTGAACCAATGGCCTCAGAGTATCTAGGACGCCGACGCCGAGTTCCCAAAAGGTGGAGCCCAATGGAAGGGAGTCAATAGCAGCCCGAGAGGCCGGTGGATGGACAGCACCACCAGCCAATCGCGTGTCAAAGAAGGGGGCCGCCCCCAAGGAGGGCGGTGGCTGAGCGAGGATGGAGCGTTGCTAGGGAAGCGCCGGTGGTGGGGACAGGGCTGCGGAGCCTGCGATGCTGCCCGAGTTCGACTAGCCGGTGGGGCCCGCGCTCCCCCCCGCACCCCACTGCCCTCGGAGCCCGCCCCCCTCCACCTCTGCACCCCCTCCCCTTCAGAGCCCGCGCTCCCCC